AGTCGAGAGCCAGACTCGATCTCCCGGTGCGTACACCGGTCCCTCACTGTGGTGGCGATCGGCGCTCGCCTTTTGTTGACGGATGGCACGCTGCAGATGGACATGGGCAGCGTCCCACGTCTCTTCCGAGCGCCGAATCCACTCGTCCACCGCAGGGGCCTCGATCTGGCTCTCGTGCCACGGTGCCAGGACCGGCTGATAACCTAAAACACACTGGAAAGGTGTTAAGTTGGTGGAGGAGTGGCGGAGAGAGTTCTGGGCCATATCTGCCCAGGGGATGAACCTCGACCACTCCTCCGGCCGGTCCCGGCAATAGGACCTCAAAAACCTACCCACATCCTGGTTGACACGTTCCACCTGCCCATTACTCTCTGGGTGGTACCCCGAGGTAAGGCTTACCGAGACCCCCAACCGTTCCATGAACGCTCCCCAAACTCTGGAAGTGAACTGGGGACCTCGGTCAGACACAATATCCTCGGGGACCCCATAGTGCCGGAACACATGGGTAAAGAGGGCCTCAGCGGTCTGTAGGGCAGTAGGGAGACCCGGCATGGGAAGGAGACGACAGGCCTTGGAAAACCGATCCACAACGACCAATATGGTGGTATTCCCCTGGGAGGGGGGTAGGTCAATTACGAAATCCACCGATAGGTGGGACCATGGTCGTTGTGGAACGGGCAGGGGATGTAGCTTACCCCTGGGCAAATGTCTAGGCGCCTTACACTGGGCACACACCGAGCAGGAGGAGACATAAACCCTCACATCCCTAGCTAACGTTGGCCACCAGTATTTCATGCTAAGACAGTGCACGGTCCGGCCAATACCTGGATGTCCAGAGGAGGGTGATGTATGAGCCCAATAAATAAGACGATCACGGACCTCGATTTGCTAAACACGAGTGCTAAATCCTCATACTCGGGGGGAATGCGCAGTGCGGGCACTTGGTTCGGACTCTCTACCGAGGTCGCCCCTACGGAAACACCTAGACATCTCCCTACACACTGAGCAGACCACTCCATAAGAGCCCTCTGTTGCCACGCTATGGTAGGATCATGGGTGCTTAACCAGGGAAGGCCCAACACCACGGGGTACGCAGGAGAGTCAATCAGATAAAACTGAATGATCTCCTCATGACCCCCCTGCGTCATCATCGTCAGTGGTGCTGTGACCTCCCTGATCAGGCCCGACCCCAACGGCCGGCTGTCTAATGCGTGGACAGGAAATGGATCGTCTACCGGCCGAAGGGGAATCCCTAACCTACTACAAAATGCCCGATCAATAAAGTTCCCAGCTGCGCCTGAATCTACTAGCGCCTTATGCTGGGAATGAGGTGCCACCTGTGGAAACCTCACAGGAATACTCATGTGACCAACAGAGAGCTCTGGGTGAGTGGGGCGCCTACTCACCTGAAATGACTCCCCAGTGCGTGGCCTGTTGTCACCTCTCCCAGGAGACCCTCCCCAGCACCTGGCCGCAGTGTGTCCTCCACGACCGCAGGTGGTGCAGGGGATGGCCCCCCTCGGGTTCCCTCTCCTCCTCTCTCTAGCGCCAGCACCCCCTAGCTCCATGGGAATCGGCTCGGGGGTGCTGGAGGGTGGACTGGACGACCCCCACTCGGGACGTCCGCGGGTAGCCAGCAGGGTATCCAGACGGATGGAAATGTCCACCAACTGGTCAAACGACAGGTTGGTGTCCCTGCAGGCCAGCTCCCTACGAATGTCCTCTCGTAGACTACACCGGTACTGGTCGATGAGGGCCCTCTCATTCCACCCCGCATCCGCCGCTAGTGTCCGGAACTCCAGTGCGAACTCCTGTGCGCTCCTCTTCCCCTGTCGGAGGTGGAATAGACGCTCTCCCGCCGCTTTCCCCTCAGGGGGATGATCGAAGACAGCCCTGAAGCGGCGGGAGAACTCCGCGTAGGTGATGGTAGCGGCGTCTATTCCCCTCCATTCGGCGTTGGCCCACTCCAACGCCTTGCCGGAGAGACAGGAGATGAGGGCGGAGACGCTCTCGTATCCCGAGGGCGCCGGGTGTATGGTGGCAAGGTAAAGTTCTACCTGCAGGAGGAATCCCTGACACCCGGCTGCAGAACCGTCATATGCCCTCGGGAGTGAGAGCCGAATGCCACTGGGTTCCGGTACTGAGAGATGAGGACTGGCCGTTGGTGATGCGATGTTGTAAGGGTCCTTGGCCACCTCAGAGTTCACCAATCGGCGCAGAGCGTTGGACACCTCGTCCATGGCGGTCCCGAGTTGCCGGATCATGGCGTCCTGAAAGTTGATCCGGTCCAGCAGGGATTCGGGTGCCGCCGCTGTTCCTGCTGACTCCATGATGGTGTGTTGTTCTGTCACTATTCCGTCGTGGATGTGGTGGAGGAGTCAAGCGCAGGAAACAGAGGTTAAGTCCAACAAGACTTTTAATAGTCTCAATAACAAGAGAACAAACCCCGACCTCGAAAACACGAAGTGGCGAGGGAAAATTACGCACTCGCGTAAAACACTAAACATGGAAAAATGACACGGAAAACAAACACGTATCAAAGACACGGTGGCAACAGAATAACAACACACAAATGCCCTAGATCACAACACGGAACTTATAAGACACGTAATCAACTCCCAAACAGACACAGGTGTGACAGACAGACAAAAGCAATCAAACACAGAAACATAGAGCGGTGGCAGCTAGTACTCCGGGGACGGCGAACGCCGAAGCCTGCCCGAACCAGGAGGAGGAGCAGCCTCGGCCGAAACCGTGACAGTTCTCTTGATAAACGTGTGAATTGGACCATTTTCCTGTCCTGTTAAGCCTTCAAAATGTAACGAGTACTTTTGGGTGTTAGGTAAAAAGGTATGGATTAAGAAGTTCATTATTTTCTTTAGGAATGCAGTGAAGTAAAAGTTGTCAAAAATATAAATCTTAAAGTACAGATACCCCCAAAAACTACTTAAGTAGAACTTTACACCACTGCATGGTGATGTAATAGCCCATCATTTAGGTTCATGTGCACTGTGAAGACAAGGAATATGTTCATGGTAGCATCCTGGGTCAATCATTGGTTTAAATCATAAAACCAATCATCAGTTGACTTGGCTACTGTTAAAAAAAAAAAAAAAAACTATATTTGATGTCATCGCCCCCCCCGGAAATCTAATGAGCATAATAAAAAAATCCCCATAAAAATCTGTCAGATTAAACCAGAGATTGGATGTGTCTGCTGTGAAATGAGACAGAGCTAGAACAGTGTTTGTCAGACCATGAGACATCCCAAAAATCAGTCTTCTCACAAAATTATCTGTAGCGTCCGAACAGCCTTCGAACTATTACCCTTCTATGGAAAGATGAGACTCTGAAGAACACAATGGTGTTATCCGTTTTGCTCTATGACCCACACAAGCATCTTGGGACTCGTCTGAAGTCGGTACAGCCTATCTGCCAACTTCTGTCTGTAGCATCAGAACAGTTTGGGCTACATACTAATATTACCTCTGTGGAAAGATGAGACTCACAAACAAATGTGAGACTCACGAACACGTATATGTCGGTTGTTTTGCTCTAGGACGCCTACAGGCCTCAAGAGTTGTCCGAAGGTCCCACGGTACCAGTTGGAAAAAAAATTGAAGTATATATGGAGACTGTTTAGTGCCAAAATAAATACACGTAAAAAAATAAAAATAAATGTATATCTCGCAGATACAGGACAGACACTTCAGAACAAACTTCCTTTTGATTTATTTGAGGGACTACTGTATATTTTGTTCCATGTAGTGAATCTGTTATTCAATGCATTTGTATGGGCTAATTGCAGCAAGGCCAGACAAAAAAAATCATCAACAAAAAAAATAATAGATTTGTTTTATACTTCAACGGGTCTTAAAATTAAAAATCAAAAAACTAACTTGTGCTTTGTATGACCTTCTTAAAACAATTCCATATAGCTTAGTAGAACCCCCTTCCCCAGATAAGACAGGACTTAGACTGTAGAGAGTATTAATGCATAGTAAAGATAACTATTTTTGGCATTGGGCAGCATAGCCCAGGTCTATATTGGACTGATCCATATGCTACTGTGGTCTGTGCCTTTGTTTCTGATTGTGTTGCAAATCCTCAGTGGATATATGATTTTATTATATTTGTCAATGAGCTCAATTTGGAATGAACAGTATCATGACCCAGGATAAGACCCAGATGCAGACAGTTCGAAATAGCAAAAGTTTATTTACAAAAACAGGGGGCAGGCAAATGACAGGTCAAGGGCAGGCAGAGGTCAGTAATCCAGAGCAGAGTCCGAAAGGTACAGAAACGGCAGAAAGGCTCAGGGTCGGGACAGGCAGAACGGTCAAAAACCGGGAAAAACAGGAAAACAGGGGCTACAGCAAAACAGGAGTACGGGAAAACCACTGGTAGGCTTGACGAGACAAGACGAACTGGCAACAGAGGTATAAATACACAGGGGATAATGGGTAAGATGGGCGACACCTGGAAAGGGGGTGGAGACAAGCACAAATACAGGTGAAACAGATCAGGGTGTGACAGAACAGAAAATATATTTCTTCAAACCACACAACAATATTTCATGGTTCCAAATATATCAGATTAAACAAGGAATCCCTCTTGCTGTTCAACTAAATAATTGAATATACAATAAGCTTCTCCCCTACTGCAGAGCCCCTACAGTGGATGGAACATAAAGTCTATAACAGTCTATTCTTCCTCTATACATGAATCATAATGGCCCCTTGGCTTAGGAATACTTTACCTATCCTGGCTGCATGCTATTTTGGAATTGTATAGTGTTTCTCTTTTCTACATTCTCATTCTATGAACCTTAGCATATTATGTATTATAAAACCCCAAAATATATATATTTCAATTGCAAACGTGAAGAGGCTGTTGACCAGCAGAGTGGACATGTTACTGCCCTTGAAGGAGTACTGGTAACACTCAGCTGTAACTAAACTAGCAGTAGTACATCTCCTGATCTCTTCTGGTACATCCAGTTAACTAGGGACTCTCCTCAGTATGTCCTGAGAAGATATCATTATTCAGAAGGTAGCAATAGTGATGAGTTCAAGAAGAGGTTTGATTCCAGGCTGAATTTCACATCTAGCTCTGTAGAGTGTTTGTCACAGGATTCTCAATGTTTGACAAAGCACAAAAAGAGGAGGAGACAAGGATTTCATCGTGTCATCATGGCCTAGCTATATCAGAGCGGTTTTACTCTTCTCCCATTGATCTCACAGTAGCAGACATGGGACCCTGGCTGAGAAATGTATTAATTCTTGCTGCATGTTGTTATGGTAAGATATTATTTTCCTAATTCATTTACTGCCTTTGTTCCAATCACTTTCTTTTTTCAAATATATTTCTCAGTATAATACTACCAGTATTAAATTCCTACGTTTTTATTCCCTCTATCATGTTGCTTGATTATTTTCTCCCTAATACAAATCGTGTATTACATTATTTTCCAGAATGCAGAGGAGAAGACTCAGTCATTCAGTCAGCAGGAGATGTGACCACTACTGAAGGAGAACAGGTCATACTTGGCTGTACATTTTATGCAGTTGATACTTCAAATCTCTACCTGTTCTGGTACAAGCATGAATTAAATGGCTTCCCAAAGTTCATGCTGGGTCGTTTTCCATTTGGAGGTAAAAATGCCACTGAGTTCAAGGAGAGATTTGATGCCCATCTAGATAAAGACTCCAAATCAGTCCCCTTGACGATCCAGAGGGTGCAGCTGTCTGACTCTGCTGTGTACTACTGTGCTCTGAAGCCCACTGTGACAACAGGATATACAGCCCCCTTACAAAAACTATTTGATAGTGTAATATAAGACTCTTAAAGAGCCTAGTGTAAGCTCCTCCTCAAAACTTCCTATAAGACAGAGTGAAAGCATTCAAAGACACATACAAGTGTGTTTGCTCTCTCCTCACCTACCCATCTCACAGTAGACATGGAATCTTGGCTGAAGAATATTCTGATTCTTTCTGCATTTTGTTGGGGTATGTTAACTATTATTTTATTTGCTTACTGCCATTGCTTTAATTATCCCTTTATGTTGTCATGAAAAATAGAGAAAGTTGCTCACTCTATATGCTCCAAATTATTTAATTGGTATAAATCTTCAAAAACACCCTTTCTATTTTAAACGTCTTTCTCCAGAATGCAGAGGAGACAGTGTGTCACAGCCAAAACAAGATGAGACTGCTATCGAAGGAGGACAAATAACACTTGCGTGTCATTATGAAACAGACGATCCAAGTCCATATCTATTCTGGTACAAACAGGCAACAAACGACTACCCCAAGTATATGCTTATGCGGTTCAATTTTGGAACTGGGGACAATGCTACTGACTTCAAGGAGAGATTTCATGCCGATCTAGATGCCAACTCCAAATCAGTTCCCTTGACTATCCAGAGGGTGCAGCTGTCTGACTCTGCTGTGTACTACTGTGCTCTGAGGCCCACTGTGACAACAGGATATACAGCCCCCTTACAAAAACATACTGAGCTACACAATGACAATACACCTGTCTGGACAGTATACCACACCACTTTGAAATTGACACTGTAACCTTCTCACTACCTCCCTGATAATACCAAGACTAGTGGTAGCAGATGTTGATAATCACAGTGATGATGATGATGATGATGATGATGATTATACAGTAAGTCATTTTTTATGCCAATAAAGCTACCTCTTCCAATGCAGATCTAAATGTCAGCCTAGTCTCATAGACTAGACGTAACATAGTAAATATACATCCGGGACACTCAAATTAGCATGAAATGTTATGTTTGGTATGGTTACATAAGACAGAAACTTAAGGCAAATCCTTAACCGTTTTAGCTAACTCTTCCCCTAATCCTAACATGAACCCTTTAACCTAACTCCTAACCCTAACCCCTAGCCTAGCTAACATTAGCCAACTAACTAACAATAGTGTTAGCCACCTAGTCACCTAGCTAACATCAGCCACAACATATTGGAATTCGTAACATATCATATGATTTGAAAATCATAACATATTGTATGTTTTGCAAATTTGTAACATATTGTACGTTTTGCAAATTCGTAGCATATTAATCGAATTGTAATTCGTAACATATCATTCAAAATGGATGATGGACATCTACAAATGACTACATACCATACGAAATGTAACATATCATACTAAAACGAGTGTCTCGGATTTACTTACAGGATAATACAAAATGCTCTGAGACCAGTTTGTAAATGTAAATGTAAGAGACAATAAAATGCCATTACAATATCTCATGGATTAGAAAATAGACCATTGTTTTATTTTTTGAATTGGCCTAGTAGTCTTACTTAGATGAATGTAGAAAAAGCAATACTCAGTTTTGTGTACATAGTAATGGAAAAGCCAGCATCAACCACAAGGGGGACATAGTACCAAGTGAGTGTTGCTTTCTACTCTGAAATGACTTGTCTATTTGAACATCCCCTCTGTTCTGTGCTGCATGGTCTAGGCCTGTGCTGCCACAAAGACAGGAAACAAGAGAACACACCAGTTTCTATATTGTAACATCAGTTTGTCTTGGTCTTTGTATCCTATGATAAGTATGGGACATTGGCTGTGTACCTTTGTTGTTCTTGCTGCACTTCTCTTTGGTAGGATACGGCTCTCATTATCTTTTTCTCAATACCCTATTGTTACTGGAATCCTGACATGTTGTGACCATGGGACTTTAAGGTTCTATCTGTGCAAAGCAAAGTAATTGAGCATCAAAGTTTTCACATCCGAGATCTCAGAACTGTTTTGTAGTGAATTCTTCTTTCATAACCCATTAACGTTATCACCTTAAAGCAGTGGAGGCTGCTGAAGGGAGGAGGCTCATAGTAATGGCTGGAATGGAGTCAATGGAATGGTATCAACCACATGGAAACCCTGTTTGATACCATTCCATTGACTCCATTCCAGCAATTATTATGAGCTGTCCTCCCCTCAGCAGCCTCCACTGCCTTAAAGATACCTAAAGTGCAGAGTATCAAAATCCTGAGACATTTGTAAGTCAGATGTCTTTAGGGTGGTGCAATTGCAGATAGATCCTCATGGCTCTAAAATGTCAATCTTGGTTCTATCTGAATTAGATATGTTCAGTTTTTACGAAAACTGTAGCTATTTCACTAAGATAGAGTAGGAACACATTATCAAATACATTAAGAAACGTATTATGATCATCAGACAAATTACAATCATCACTGGACAACGATGTGACAACATCATTTACTTTAATATTTCTGACAGTGTTGTTCTTTTCCTTGCATGCCATTATTGCTGGCTAGATCAGCTTCGACCATACTTAGAGAGATGGTAAAGACGTGTTCTGATTGATCCATCTGTATTTGTTCAGGCTTATGGTTGGATTGCAGATAGAGCATTATAGCGCCAAGTTCAAAGGGGTTTATGTAGATAGAACTTTCCAGTTTATTTAAATTTTTCCCTTAAAATGAACTTTTAAAAAATCTAACTACACAGACCATGAAGAACCATCTAAAGATCAATTAGATGTGATGTGACCTACACATTTTTCACAAAAATGTCAGATAGAACCATAAAGTCTCAAGGCATTCTTAGTTTCCAGGGTGCAGAAGAGCAGACAATGTTACTCAGTTGAAGAGAGGAGTGACTGCTTATTAAGGAGAAGATGTGTATCTCAGCTGTGAATATTACACCAGTTTATCATCTCCATCTCTCTTCTGTTACATTAAATCCCCAAACGATTACCCTGAATATGTGTTGCGGACAGATGTCATTGGACCAGGGGATATTGATGATAGATTCAAATGGAGATTTGATGCCCATCTAAATTCCATCACCAAATCAGTGTTGTTCAGACAATGTCACAAGTTTCTCATGGTTTGACAATACACAAAGAGAGGAGGAGACAAGGATTTCATTGTGTCCTCATGGCCTAGCTACATCATACATGCATGTTGTTATGGTATGATATTATTTTCCTTATTTGTTTACTGCCTTTGCTCCCATTCCTTTATTTTATCAAACATATTTCTCAGTATAATACTACCAGTATTAAATGCATACGTTTTTATTCCCTCTATCATGTTGCTTGATTATTTTCTCCCTAATACAAATCGTGTATTACATTACTTTCCAGAATGCAGAGGAGAAGACTCAGTCATTCAGTCAGCAGGAGATGTGATCCCTACCGCAGGAGAACAGGTCACACTGGACTGTCAATTTGATGCATTTCATCCTAAGAATCTGTACCTGTTCTGGTACAAGCATGAAGTAAATGGCTTCCCAAAGTTCATGCTGGGACGTTTTTCTTTTGGAAGTACAAATGCCACTAAGTTCAAGGATAGATTTGATGCCGATCTCGATGCAGACTCCAAATCAGTCCCCTTGACGATCCAGAGGGTGAAGCTGTCTGACTCTGCTGTGTACTAATGTGCTCTGAGGTCCACAACAGGATATACAGCCCCTTACAAAAACTATTTGAAAGTGTGATATAAGACTCTTAGAGAGCCTAGTGGAAGCTCCTCCTCAGTACGTCCTATAAAGCAGAGTTTAAGAAGTGGTTTCACAAGCTTATGACACAGTAGACATGGAATTGCTGCTGTAGAAACTTCTGATTCTTGCTGCATTTTGTTGTGGTATGATAACTATTCATTTATGTATTTGCTTATTGCCTTTGCTCCAATCCCATAATTTTTTTAAATATAAATGTCAGTATAATATTACAATAATTAATTTAATGCGTTTTTATTCCCTCAATCGTGTTGCTTGATTTTTTTCTCCCCTAATACAAATTGTGTATTACATTATTTCCCAGAATGCAGAGGAGAAGACTCAGTCACTCAGCCACCAGGAGATGTGATCGCTACTCCTTGCATTCAATCAGATTATTCAATTATGGTATTGGTAGTAAAACATATATTGATGAAGTAGTAATTTAAATGTGAGTAATTAAGTTGATTTCTAAAAAGTGTTTTCAATCACTTTTATTATCTATTTTACCTCTGCAGTAATGGTATCTGGAGATAGTGTACTCCTGACAAGGAGGACTACACCCCCACTGAGGGTGATACAGAGTCCCTGAGAGGCTGTACAGAAACTAGTACACTGAGAAATGACTTGTTTTAGATGAACGTGTTGGTCATTTCCTGACCACAGTTCATTATCAGGTAGCAGAAGGTAAGTAGATTAGATTATTGTGGTTACAAATGTTGTTAGAGTAAGTAAAAACACATTTAGCATAATAGGGGAAACTTGTATTATTTAAAATTAGAGAATATTATGAATATGGAAACTAATTCTTTTGAAAATGCATTTTTCTTCATGTTATTCATTCACTTCAGAAGATCCTCTGAAAATGAGTTGTGTTTAGAGGAGGAGCTAGTATGGGAATGAAAAAGAGAGACTCAAAATGGCATGAAGGTCTTTCCTCAGTGCATTGTAAGCTTGTCTCTCTAACATTAACCATGCTGTGCTGGTTCACCTTGTTCTTTTTAACATTTGTGGGTAAGTAAAATACACTTAACAGTAATGATAATGTGTAATTACTTATTTACAAGCTTGGAAAAACAACACACAAGGTTGACTGTTAATGTTGACAAAGTGGCCAAATGTGTGGATCTGAAGATCTCCTCTGCTGAAGTGACAGACTCTGCTCTGTACTACTGTGCTCTGAGGCCCACAGTGACAGAAATCCCAGAAACACTACAAAAACCTTATTGCAATAAAGTCCTACTAGTAAACACCATGTAATAGGCAAGCATCTGCATACAAATGATCAGAGATCATGTTCATCATTATCCATCAATTATGTCATATTTGTTCGTCACAGATTATAATGTAGATATACAGTATGTCGTGATGTGACTTTCATTATTGTGATGACTATTATTTATCGAATAATTACCTACTATGTTTAATTGTTACTAGATTAAATTAATCATGTAGCAATTAACTCATTAGGAATTTGGGGCACCACAGCAAAAGTTGTTTAACGAGTTACCGTTTCCCAAATTAACTCTAAAGATATCTAGATATCTCTTATCATTTAACAGTTGTTTATTAATCATTTACCTCATATCAGTCTCATTCTGGAAGTCATAGACTCTTTAAGTCCGCATGAACCCGGGTCTTACTGATCATTCCGTACCACACAAATTGATGTAATGATTTATTTACTAACTAATTCAAAATGATAACACAAGATACAAACACATACACGGTATAGGTAGGGATTAGAAACTTAATACAATGAAAATGGGTCCCTAGCGGACTAACACAATATGTCACTTGTTACAAAAGATGGCGAGTTAAAGAGAGAGAGAGAAAGAGAGAGAGAGAGAGAGAGAGAGAGAGAGAGAGAGAGAGAGAGAGAGAGAGAGAGAGAGAGAGAACACTTGGATACACATGGACCTACGCTCACAGTAATCCTAATACCTTGTCCCGAACTGCCACCCGTTTGGTGAGAAGTAATGCATGTATTTACATGTTGGAGGTCTTCGTTGTGTATCTCTGTTGGACCCAGGCCTTCGTGTGAAGGGGTCGATTGGGCCTTCTCTTTCGGATGGCCTTTAAGATGTAAGGCTCAGATTGTCCACAAGAGGTCACAATGTCCTTCTTCTTAGTTGTCTGTTTACTTTCACTCGTTCTGGAAGTGGTCTTCTGAGGATGGCTAATCAGCCGTGTCGATGATCCCCTGTGGGGTGATGAGAGCAGTGTAGTAGACGATGGTTTGAAGAGAGTAACAGGATGGTCCCACTTAAATTCACCTTCTTAGATACAGTACTTACAACAGCTGCTCAGCCGTAACATTGATTGTTAGTGGAGGCAACTTTGTCGTCTTCACCTCGTGTTGATTTTCAGGGTCGTAACCAATGGTTACAAAATCTGTAGCTTGAGTGCTTCTGGTCTGATCTGATAATTCTTAACTCAATCTTTTATGCACTCTGGTAAAGAGGGGCATTTCCGTCATACTGACACGCTCTCTGAGCTCCCTCGGGCGTGGCTAGTTACAAGGCAAAAGTATTATCATCACTTGTTAGAAAGCTAAAATCACATTCCTATCTTCATGAAAACATTGTCTTCCTCCTTGATATTTTCTACACAACGTACAGGATGTAAACCTGATATACACAGTGTAAAAGCTCTTCAAGTCACAATGTTTTCATTATATAGCGAGTCATGACAGTCCCCCTCTGGTGGTTCAACCTTGGAAGGATTCTGCAAGTTTGCAACCCACCATAAAAATGACCACGGGATGTCCTGGTTCTGGATCATCATTGCGGGCCCGTCGTCCGTTTGTCCAGGCTGGTAGATCTAGGCGGTAACTTACACAGACATTAACAACGCACAACACTCAGGAAATACATCATTACATTTCTTCCCCAAATGGGTGGCATTGTGGCACTCACTGGTGGTCGTATGGGGAACTTGTTTGTGGCAATATCACTTCCTTACTGTCAAAGGAAATAAAAAATTGAAATAATAAAAACACAACAAAAGATATACAAATATAGTTCCCCCACCTTAATCATCTACTTGGACTCTATTCTATGTACATCCATGGTCTTGGCTAAATGACACTATCATGACATTTGTCTGATGTCATATCTAGGGCGATCCTACTTGAAGGTGAGTAGTTAAGACACTCTCTAAAATGGCACCCTGAATGACAAAGCTTCCATTGTGGCACTACATGGCTGACCTAGCAAACTCTGGGGAAGAAGCTGGGAATGCTGTGGGGTTTTGGAATCTATTGCCAGTTTTCCGAAAATCGGGATTGCTTCCGTCCCACAGGTGATCCTAGCATAAGACCTCATTAGGTCTTCCATTGCGTGTGTGCGCCTGTGTACATAGTAGGTGCACACGCCAAGGGCAATAAGACCAAGGATCATGGTAACAGTCAGGATACTGTCCGGCACCGTCCAAGAGCGGGTGACAGACCAATCTTTTGGCTAAAAGTGCCTCATTCAGTACACTAAGATCAACAGTCATCGGTCCCTCGTACTGAATTTTGTTTTGAAAAGCTGGTGGTAACTCAAGGGAACGTTTAGCAAAAGCGTCAGGCATTTCAATATCTGTGTCTATCCTGTCGTCAGGAAGTTGGTATAGGGCTAGGTCGTCTATGTGGATAATCGCCCCCTCTGGTACCTTAACAAAAATTGTCTGATTGGGGAGGTTCAGTTTAGTGGTTGAGTCATGGCATTCGTAAGTCATAGTGGCGGACATGAATGGGGGGTTAATCAGCCATTGAATCCCTACCACTTCCACTTGCGTGGTGGTGACTCCACCTCTTGCTGTTAGTTTGGCTCTACAGCGTTCTTCGCTGGTGATAGGCATAAGGCCACAAAGGCACTTAGTGTTATCCCTGATTAAGGGTTTGCTAGGACACAAGTAGTGGCCGTCTTTGGTTAGAGTACACATTTACAGGTTAGGGGTTATATAGACATCTGGATTGTGTTCCTGATAAGCTATGTCTGGAGGTGTGATGATTTTCACATGGGTGTTGTCGCGCCAAAATCCTACGTTTAGAACTGTTTTCAACCTATAGATATTCTCCAGTTCAACAACGGCAGCGTCAGTATAAATCCAACTTCATTTTGATTAAAATCAACGTGTATTGGAATTGCAGACCCCAGACTATAGGCCAGGTGTGACTGTAATGGCTTTATCATTATTGTGGTAGCTGAGGTCAATATGTTGTGCTCCATTGAGAGGGGCACTAGATATGAGGGGATTCTATTCATGGCCAAGTTGTCCATAGAAGAGCTAACTTCACGGAGAAAATCCTCCAACAACAATCGAACCAATTGGACATGGGCATAGTTATGGTTCATGACCTCTACTAGCTTGCCTACCGACAGGAGGGTTTTGTTCAAGAGAGTAGCATGTGTGTTTACCACCAGAATAGTGTCCTGGAGAGACCTTCCCACATGCTGAAACCTGAGTGCCTGTGATTGCATCTGTTGCTGGATAAGTGGCATCTCTTCAGTAATCTCCCTAACATTCATTTTGACCGTGGTTAGACTGACTGCGTTGACAGCAGTGGTACCTAGAGCGAATAGTGACCCTACGGTTGCACCTATTGAGAGTAGCTCCTCGAGGAATCGTTTTTCCTTACCTGACTGTGAACTTTTAGAGTTGGGCCAACATGTGGGCAGTGTCTAGCTGAGCGTGCTTAACTGCCTGGATGGTCCAGTCAGCCCCGGCCCAACTCATACATGCCGCAGGGAAAATGTGTTGGCGGTACACGTTCTCTGCATCTAGGCGGACGTACACCTTCTGCGCGTGTACTCTGCAGTTGGTTATAAGGAGTCCTGGATCATCATGGAGAACGATTCCCGTAGGGGGTCCACTCGTGAGTACATCTGCTGGATTGGTTTTGACAACACATTTAGCTGATTTTCCTATTTTGAACAGCACAATGCAGGTCAATATCAACAATGACAACGAACTGTGTCTTGTAGCTGGGAAGAGAAGAAAATATGTTAGGTGCAATGTACTGACCTCCCAGAAGGGATCAGCTAAGGATACTTGAGAATTTTGTTAGTACCTCTGATTGGCTAGGTTTCTATCTATTCGGGGCTGGCTTGCACCCCTTCTATTCCCATGGGGGGAGTGTACAACTTGATTTGGTTCCTGTGGACCCACTTGAACATGATGTTCTATCGACCTTTGCTGATTCTGATTTGATAAGCAACAGGTGACAGCTTTAACACAATCTCATGTGGCCCTGTCCAGTGGGGCAGGAACTTTTTCGCAACGCCCACGGGTTTGGTGTATACGTAGCCATTTAAATTCAATTCGATTTCAAATACATTTTCATGAACAATTAAATGTATGTGTATTAAAACCTTTCTCTATGCAGGTGTCAGTTTTGAGGACCTCACTCCACTCAAGAAAGAAGAGTACCGTTTAGAGAATGGGTAGGCAATCCAGGTCCTGGAGTGCAGCAGGCACTTCATGTTTTGATTTAACCCACCTGGAAGACCAGGTGGGTTGATTTTAGGCAATCACTGAACTAATCAATTAGCTCAGTTGGGCAGGGGTGGTGCCTAGTTGGAACAAAATCCTGCAGTACCAGTGGCACTCCAGGAACAGGGTTGCCTACTCCTGGTTTAAAGGGAACCCATGTTACCCTGTCTTACAAATACTCCAGAACAGCTACTGGTGGAGATTAATTCTACTGATATCACCAAGACACAGCAGAAAGGCCAGCGTTCCTCCTCTACATCTCAGGTACATAGTTTATAATGAAAGCAGATCCTCTGAACTCTCGAATATCTGCAAAACTGAATGAAGAGAAAAAACTTTTGGATCTAGAGATCTCCTCTGCTGAAGTTACTACTTTGCTCTGTGTTGTGAGGCCCACAGTGACAGGAAACCTACACACACTGTAAAGAAAACCCACATCAGCAGGAATTAATCTGGTTTCTTTTTTAACTTGTGTCTAACCCTTATTTTTTAGACATCAAATCACTAATGAATGATGTTAATGTCTCCTGTAAATAAAGCCAATGACTCAAATGTTTCACCTGTCCTAAATTTGATTTGAGCATTGATAGATTCTGTCAATTTGATGCATAGTCCAATTCTCCTACAGCCAGGCCTTTTATCCATATCATATACATACAATATGCATGGATTAAATGACTGTAAATCCATGTACTGCAACCTTTAGAGGAGCTTACCTGAAGCCAACTGACTGGCTTCTTTTGGTCTGGGTCACTAGATAGGAAAAGTAATTCAAGTTTTCACATGTATAATACTTCATTATTCATGTGAGGATTTAGTGGCTTTATTCTCAAAACCTCCTCAACATTTAAATGTGGTCAGCAAAGTGTAAGTAGAGTACAAAGGGTTTTCTTTACATTTACCCACAAACAGCCATTTCTGCAGCTCCTGGCTGATCTTCAGGTGAGGTACCTTCTTATCCTACATGTGCTGCCCACTACACCTTCTGAAGGACAGATTAATCAGGCCTAAGTGAGCCAGGTGGCTCGTCCACTGCTTCTCACTCTTCAGCCACAACTACTGAGATGTTCTCTCTGGCTCATGATCAGTTATATGACAGATCTACTTTGTCTGTGCTCCTCCTATAGACTGCCCTCCACAGTTATGAAGTCCAGTGACCAGGTTTTTCTATGTGTAATAATGATACAATAGATCTATCTAGTGTTCAACATTTGGCCTAACAAGGTGAAACCTTGACATTGCTTGTATTTTCAATGGTAAGTTACTAGTGAGATTCAATAGGTGTCAGTGGAGTCTCATCAATTTGCTTCTATTCCTTTAAATGATGCAAGCAGCATACCAACACTTTACAGGTGTCTGTGTGGTATAATTTCCCCCACCAATTAGCATATCAAACTAAATCAACCTGAGAAGGGCAGCATTTCACAGGGAATCCTTTTAGTAGTTCAACTAAAATGAATATACAATAAGCTCCTCCCCTGATTCAGAGCCCCACAATTATGAGACTTCTCAGCTACAGTGGATGGAACATAAAGTCTATAACAGTCTATTCTTCCTCTATACATGAATCATAATGGCACATTGGCTTAGGAATACTTTACTTATCCTGGCTGCATGCTATTTTGGTACGGTATAGTGCTTCTCTTTCCTATTCTCTTTGTCTGAAACTTAGCTAATAAGTTATTATACAATTATTGATTAATTATTATAAACGATTATTATAACGACTTTTTCAGATTGCAGAGGTGAAGAGGCTGTTGACCAGCAGAGTGGACATGTTACTGCCCTTGAAGGAGGACTGGTAACACTCAGCTGTAACTACACTACCAGTAGTACATCTCCTGATCTCTTCTGGTACATCCAGTTAACTAGGGACTCTCCTCAGTATGTCCTGAGGAGAGATCGTTATTCAGAAGGGAGCAATAGTGATGAGTTCAAGAAGAGGTTTGATTCCAGGCTGAATTTCACATCTAGCTCGGTCCCCTTGATGATCCAGAGGTTGCAGCTTTCTGACTCTGCTGTGTACTACTGTGCTCTGAGGCCCACTGTGACAACAGGATATACAGCCCCCCTACAAAAACTAGTGTAGCCTTGGCACTAGTGTAGAAAGATTGTAAGCCTTACTTCTGTGTTGGGTGTGATGTTAGCAGGGCTGTACACCTCACACAGTGACACTTAGAAGAAAATGTCAGAGGAGAGTGAATGCATGCAAACATCAGTCTGAAGATGGAGAAATCAGTGTATTGATCATTCTGATTATGACTACAGGTAAACAATACCTAAACATTTGAACTCCTTGCATCCTTATAATCAGATTATTCAATTATGGTATTGGTAGTAAAACATATTTTGATGAAGTAAAGTAATTGAAATGTGAAAAATAAGAATGTGTTTTCAATCAGCTTCAATATCTATTTTTCTTCTGCATGAATGGTGTCTGGTGATAATGTGACTTCTGACAAGGAGGAGTATACCCCCACTGAGGGATCATCAGTGTCTCTGAGCTGTACATATGAAACAAGCAGCAGTAACATCTACCTTTACTGGTACCAACAACACCCTAACCAGGCACCTGATTACCTACTGTATAAAGGTGCCAGAGCAAATAGTGTTGACCATATCTCTAATCATCTATATGAATCTACAACATCCCAAACGTCAACTACACTCATGATAAAACAAGTAACTCTGGCAGACACAGCTCTCTACTACTGTGCCCTGAAGGAAGCCCAGTGATACAGAGTTTCTGAGAGGATGTACAAAAACTAGTACACTGATAAATGACTTGTTTTAGATGAGCTTGTTGGTCATTTCCCGACCACAGTTCATTATCAGGCTCAGAGCAACAGAGGGTTTGTAGATAACATTATTGTGGTTACACCTGTTGTGTCTAATAAAGAGTATGTTCGCCTTCAACGCTGCGCCTTGGTCCTCCTCTGTTCTGTCACGATCGTCGGGAACAGAGGAGGACCAAGGCGCAGCGTTGAAGGCGAACATACTCTTTATTAGTGATTACACGAACAAAAACAACAAACGATAACGTGACGTCCACGGTCTAACACAAACCACACTGGAACAAGATCCCACCAACCACTGTCGCAAACAGACTGAATAAATATGGTTCCCAATCAGAGACAACCAGCAACAGCTGACACTAGTTGCCTCTGATTGAGAACCACTCTGGTCAACATAGAAATACACCAACTAGAAACAAGGAAACTCACACCCTGGCTCAACATACAAGTGTCCCCAGAGCCAGGGCGTGACACCAATATCCCACATCTGCTCCCCAATTCCTCCACCTCATCTCAGTCTATTCAACATCTGCCGAGACAATAGTTACTGCAGAACCACCGTATACGCGACTGTCAGTTAACGTTGACAAAGTGGCTGAACGTGTGGATCTAAAGATCTCCTCTGCTATATTGGAAGACTCTGCTCTGTACTACTGCGCCTTGCAGCCCAAAGTGACAGGAAACCCAGACACACTGTACACAAACCTGACAGCTCATGATAAACTCCACTTATGCATATTTTAGGGAAGGGTGGGGCTTCCTACTGTAGGTTCAAGAAAATAAAATATCCTTTAAAAAACTGTGTTGGACTTCACCCCACCATTTACCCTCAGCTATATGATGGTTCTCTACACAGTTATTTTACTTTCTGACACGTTAGTAAATTACTTTATTCCTGTCATGCGTTTAACTTAATTTTTTTGTCTAATGTGTAGTTTTGCATCTTATCCTCAGCATACAATCTACTTAAGTAATAATGCCCGAGAAGCCCATGTTTGGAGGATGTATTGGCAGGGTTTCAGGCCCGAGACATAAATAAATAATACTGCTAACAAGCTTATGCAGGCCTTTGAAGTAGTTTCAATAAAGAACAATACAATCGAGAGAAAACAAATAAAATGTATATAGATTCAGCACTTTTGTGAAGCAGAACAGTTAAAAAATATATGGCAAAATAGAAATCAAACTGGATGGGCTTCAGAGATAGATGGGAGGGGTTGATGGTAGCTGAAGGATGGGATTAAAAATTAAAAACAAACAAAAGATAACTAACTATTGTACAATACCTTGTGTGGTAGTGGAGTTTATCATATAGCCTCCCTACTGTCACTTTATTTTACTGTATATATAGCCTCCCTACTGTCACTTTATTTTACTTCTGCTCTTTTTTTCTCAACACTTTTTTGTTGTTGTTTTATTCTTACTTTTTTGTTTAAAATAAATGCACTGTTGGTTAAGGGCTGTAAGTAAGCATTTCACTGTAATGTCTGCACCTGTTGTATTCGGCGCATGTGACCAATAAAATTTGATTTGATTTGATTTGATTTGATTTGTGTCCGTAAAATTGATATACTATGTATAAGCTGGAAGTAGAAGTCTAAGTGTTGTTGTCCATTAGTTTACTCGAATTAGGAAAGGGGTGGTAGGGTTAGGGGAAAATAATAAAGGAAAATATATTTTAAAAAGATATATGTATATATTATTTTTTTTTCCCAAGAAATATATGGTGCATTGGAAATGATGCAGACAATTACATTGACAGAAGCTACAATCTATATGCAGTATTAAAGCTGATCTACCCCCATAAAAAAAAAATATATATATATAAATATATATATATATATATATATATATATATATATATATATACAGTGGGGGAAAAAAGTCTTTAGTCAGCCACCAATTGTGCAAGTTCTCCCACTTAAAAAGATGAGAGAGGCCTGTAATTTTCATCATAGGTACACGTCAACTATGACAGACAAATTGAGGGAAAAAAATCCAGAAAATCACATTGTAGGATTTTTTATGAATTTATTTGCAAATTATGGTGGAAAATAAGTATTTGGTCACCTACAAACAAGCAAGATTTCTGGCTCTCACAGACCTGTAACTTCTTCTTTAAGAGGCTACTCTGTCCTCCACTCGTTACCTGTATTAATGGCACCTGTTTGAACTTGTTATCAGTATAAAAGACACCTGTCCACAACCTCAAACAGTCACACTCCAAACTCCACTATGGCCAAGACCAAAGAGCTGTCAAAGGACACCAGAAACAAAATTGTAGACCTGCACCAGGCTGGGAAGACTGAATCTGCAATAGGTAAGCAGCTTGGTTTGAAGAAATCAACTGTGGGAGCAATTATTAGGAAATGGAAGACATACAAGACCACTGATAATCTCCCTCGATCTGGGGCTCCACGCAAGATCTCACCCCGTGGGGTCAAAATGATCACAAGAACGGTGAGCAAAAATCCCAGAACCACACGGGGGGACCTAGTGAATGACCTGCAGAGAGCTGGGACCAATGTAACAAAGCCTACCATCAGTAACACACTACGCCGCCAGGGACTCAAATCCTGCAGTGCCAGACGTGTCCCCCTGCTTAAGCCAGTACATGTCCAGGCCCGTCTGAAGCTTGCTAGAGTGCATTTGGATGATCCAGAAGAGGATTGGGAGAATGTCATATGGTCAGATGAAACCAAAATATAACTTTTTGGTAAAAACTCAACTTGTCGTGTTTGGAGGACAAAGAATATTGAGTTGCATCCAAAGAACACCATACCTACTGTGAAGCATGGGGGTGGAAACATCATGCTTTGGGGCTGTTTTTCTGCAAAGGGACCAGGACGACTGATTCGTGTAAAGGAAAGAATGAATGGGGCCATGTATCGTGAGATTTTGAGTGAAAACCTCCTTCCATCAGCAAGAGCATTGAAGATGAAACGTGGCTGGGTCTTTCAGCATGACAATGATCCCAAACACACCGCCCGGGCAACGAAGGAGTGGCTTCGTAAGAAGCATTTCAAGGTCCTGGAGTGGCCTAGCCAGTCTCCAGATCTCAACCCCATAGAAAATCTTTGGAGGGAGTTGAAAGTCCGTGTTGCCCAGCGACAGCCCCAAAACATCATGCTCTAGAGGAGATATGCATGGAGGAATGGGCCAAAATACCAGCAACAGTGTGTGAAAACCTTGTGAAGACTTACAGAAAACGTTTGTTGAGTTGAGTTTTGTTTTTACCAAAATGTTATATTTTGGTTTCATCTGACCATATGAAATTCTTCCAATCCTCTTCTGGATCATCCAAATGCACTCTAGCGATCTTCAGACGGGCCTGGACATGTACTGGCTTAAGCAAGGGGACACGTGTGGCACTGCAGGATTTGAGTCCCTGGCGGCGTAGTGTGTTACTGATGGTAGGCTTTGTTACTTTGGTCCCAGCTCTCTGCAGGTCATTCACTAGGTCCCCCCGTGTGGTTCTGGGATTTTTGCTCACCGTTCTTGTGATCATTTTGACCCCACGGGGTGAGATCTTGCGTGGAGCCCCAGATCGAGGGAGATTATCAGTGGTCTTGTATGTCTTCCATTTCCTAATAATTGCTCCCACAGTTGATTTCTTCAAACCAAGCTGCTTACCTATTGTAGATTCAGTCTTCCCAGCCTGGTGCAGGTCTACAATTTTGTTTCTGGTGTCCTTTGACAGCTCTTTGGTCTTGGCCATAGTGGAGTTTGGAGTGTGACTGTTTGAGGTTGTGGACAGGTGTCTTTTATACTGATAACAAGTTCAAACAGGTGCCATTAATACAGGTAACGAGTGGAGGACAGAGGAGCCTCTTAAAGAAGAAGTTACAGGTCTGTGAGAGCCAGAAATCTTGCTTGTTTGTATGTGACCAAATACTTATTTTCCACCATAATTTGCAAATAAATTCATTAAAAATCCTACAATGTGATTTTCTGGAGAAAAAAAATGTCAATTTGTCTGTCATAGTTGACGTGTACCTATGATGAAAATTACAGGCCTCTCTCATTTTTAAGTGGGAGAACTTGCACAATTGGTGGCTGACTAAATATTTTTTTCCCCCACTGTATATCCATATAATTTTCCTTCCACATGATGCCATCTATTTTGTGTACTGCACCAGTCCCTCCTGCACTAAAGTACCCCCACGGCATGATGCTGCAACCCCCGTGCTTCACGGTTGGGATGGTGAACTTCGGCTTGGAAGCGACCCCCTTTTTCCTCCAAACATAACGATGGTCATTATGGCCAAACAGTTCTATTTTTGTGTCATCAGACCAGAGGACATTTCTCCAAAAAGTACGATCTTTGTCCCGATATGCAGTTGCAAACCGTAGTCTGTCTTTTTTATTGCAGTTTTGGAGCAGTGGCTTCTTCCTTGCTGAGCGGCATTTCAGGTTATGTCGATATAGGACTCGTTTTACTGTGGATATAGATACTTTTGTACCTGTTTCCTCCAGCATCTTCACAAGGTCCTTTGCTGTTGTTCTGGGATTGATTTGCACTTTTCGCACCAAAGTACGTTAATCTCTAGGAGACGTGTCTCCTTCCTGAGCGGTATGACGGCTGCGTGGTCCCATGGTGTTTATACGTGCATACTATTGTTTGTACAGATGAACGTGGTACCTTCAGGCGTTTGGAAATTGCTCCCAAGGATGAACTAGACTTGTGGAGGTCTACATTTGTTTTTTCTGAGGTCTTGGCTGATTTCTTTTGATTTTCCCATGATGTCAAGCAAAGAGGCACTGAGTTTGAAGGTAGGCCTTGAAATACATCCATAGGTACACCTCCAAATGACTCAAATGATGTCAATTAGCCTATCAGAAGCTTCTAAAGCCAAGACATCATTTTCTGGAATTTTCCAACCTGTTTAAAGGCACAGTCAACTTAGTGTATGTAAACGTATGACCCACTGGAATTGTGATACAGTGAATTATAAGTGAATTAATCTGTCTGTAAACAATCTGTCTGTATATATATATATATATATATATATATATATATATATATATATGTTGTTATGAGGGGGAAAGGGACCAAATTATTAGGGTGAGGCAAATGGACAATAAACAACTTCCTATGCAACATAGGCCAACGTACATACTAATGCATGGCCAATATATTCAACCTTTTCTGGCCCATGGTGTTGCGTGTGAATGGTTATCCTTTTAAGCTTGGAAAAGAGACCCTTAAACCCAGACTTGGACCGCACACCCTCTCCACCGAAAAGCATGGGAAGCAAAATAGTGATTGCTTTGCAATGCTTCAACTTTCTAGCTCTCCCTATAGATTTTGTGGTGACGTAGTGTCCCCATGTGTGACAGAACACTGAGCCAATCACGGCGCAACTAGAGAAGTACCATCCCCTACACTCTGTATTTTACGCTGGCTGCCCCTCGACCTCAGAAAGCACTGAGCTAGGCTGAAATACCTGCATTTTGGAGCTGCTTTACTCAAGAAAGCAAAAAAAGAGACCATATTTGTGTGCGGCTTTATTAACTCCACACAAACGGATATGTGACACGTATTAATGGCAAAATAACATGCAAAACAGGCACACAAAAAATATAAATATACAGTATATATATACAGTACCAGTCAAAAGTTTGGACACACCTACTCATTCAAGGGTTTGTCTTTATTTTTACTATTTTCTAAATTTTACAATAATAGTGAAGACATCAAAACTATGAAATAACACATATGGAATCATGTAGTATGTCACGATTCTCTAAAGCAGAACCCAGAAGCAGACCAGGACAAGGTGAGTAGAACGAAGGTGAGTATTTATTTACAGAATCAAATGTGGAAGCAGAATAATCCAGGAGACGGAGCGGGCAGCGGAGGCGAGTTGGTGGGAGTGAATAGGCTGATCCAGTAGTGTCACAGAAGCCACTGACGACCCGGCAGGGGTGGGGTGAATGTTCCGGGAGAATGACTGTAGACAGAGTAAACGGAGGTGAGTACACAGCAAGCAAAAGGTACAGAACAACTAAACTAACTCTTGTAAACTTGAGGCTGATACGCTGACACAACATACTGTTCATGGCTAACGATCCGGCAGGGAATGGATGTCAGGTCAGAGCTTATGAAGTGGAGAGGTGATGATCAGGACCAGGTGTGCAGATAGCTGATGAGATGCAGGTGCGGGTAATCGAGAGATCTCCCGCCTAGCCTCGTCGCCCGGCAACCAGACAGGGTGCGTTCAGGAACCTCAGGAAGCAGACTCCAAGACAGAAAACAGGCAACTCAGGCAAAAACAGACTCAGGAAGCGGGATTCATGACATAGTAACCAAAAAAGTATTAAACAAATCAAAATATATTTAATATTTGAGATTCTTCAAAGTAGCCACCCTTTGCCTTGATGACAGCTTTGCACACTCATGGCATTCTCTCAACCAGCTTCACCTGGAATGCTTTTCCAACAGTCTTGAAGGAGTTCCCACATATGCTTAGCACTTGTTGGCTGCTTTTTCTTCACTTTGCCGTCCGACTCATCCCAAACCATCTCAATTGGGTTGAGGTCGGGGCAATGTGGAGGCCAGGTCATCTGATGCAGCACTCCATCACTCTCCTTCTTGGTCAAATAGCCCTTACACACACTGGAGGTGTGTTGGGTCATTGTCCTGTTGAAAAACAAATGATAGTCCCACTAAGCCCAAACCAGATGGGATGGCGTATCGCTGCAGAATGCTGTGGTAGCCATGCTGGTTAAGTGTGCCTTGAATTCTCATAAAGACAAGGCGGTTGGAACCAAAAATCTCAAATTTAGGACAAATTTCCACCGGTCTAATGTCCATTGCTCGTGTTTCTTGGCCCAAGCAGGTCTCTTCTTCTTATTGGTGTCCTTTAGTAGTGGTTTCTTTGCTGCAATTCGACCATGAAGGCCTGATTCATACAGTCCCCTCTGAACAGTTGATGTTGAGATGTGTCTGTGACTTGAACTCTGTGAAGCATTTATTTGGAATGCAATTTCTGAGGCTGGTAACTCTAAAGAACTTATCCTCTGCAGCAGAGGTAACTCTGGGTCTTTCATTCCTATGGTGGTCCTCATGAGAGCCAGTTTCATCATAGCGCTTGATGGTTTTTGCGACTGCACTTGAAGACATTTTCAAAGTTCTTGAAATGTTCCGTATTGACTGACCTGAATGTCTTAAATTAATGATGGACTGTCGTTTCTTTTTGCTTATTTGAGCTGTTCCTGCCAAAATATGGACTTGGTCTTTTACCAAATAGGGCTATCTCCTGTATACCACCCCCTACCTTGTCACAACACAACTCATTGGCTCAAACGCATTAAGAAGGAAATAAATTCCACAAATTCATTGAAATGCATTCCAGGGGACGACCTCATGAAGCTGGTTGAGAAAATGCCAAGAGTGTGCAAAGCTGTCATCAAGGCAAAGGGTGGCTACTTTGAAGAATCTCAAATCTCACATATATTTTGATTTGTTTATCACTTTTTTGGTTACTACATGATTTCATGTGTGTTATTTCATAGTTTTGATGTCTTCACTATTATTCTACAATGTAGAAAATAGTCAAAATAAAGAAAAATCTTGGAATGAGTAGGTGTGTCCGAACTTTTGACTGGTACTGTATATATATACACATATATACATATATACTAGAAGTCTAAAGTTTGGACACACCTACTCATTCAATAGTTTTCCTTTATTTTTACTATTTTTTAAATTGTAGAATAATAGTGAAGACATCAAAACTATGAAATAACACATATTAAATCATGTAGTAACCAACAAAGTGTTAAACAAATCAAAATATATTTTATATTTGAGATTCTTCATATAACCACCCTTTGCCTTGATGACAACAGCTGAAAACCCTTAACCACAAACCACAGAAGAAGAGTTACATATCCAGTTATCAGAGGAGGAGCCTCATAGTCAAACACTGGTATAGGCTGGGTATAGGTGCAAGCATGAGGATGTCTCTGTAGAGGATCTACTCAGCTCTCTCACTGTCTTATCTCTCAGTTGGTTTATCTAGTCTGTGTCAGGATGTCACTCATATTACTGTTGATCCTCTCTGTGTTTGTAGGTGAGTGCTGAATTCTCAGCTGAAACCAAATAAAATGTTATTTGCCATTGTGTTCAATTAACGATTCCATAAAAACTAAATGGTAGTAATACTCTAAAATTGTGATTGTTACTGTTATCATGTATGTACGTTATCATGTCTGTATGTTTTGAATCATAATATATTCACGTTGTTGCAGGCGATAGTATGGAGCAGGAAACAATAACTCCAGTGAAGCCTGAAGTCAATGCTCTCCAAGGAACAGACATCACTCTCTCCTGCAACTACAAGGGAAACGTTTACAATCTCCAATGGTATCGTCAATACCACGGATCTGGACCAGAATGTCTTCTTTTGATCCTACAAAGCAGCATGTATGTACAGAATACATCCATTACCACTCCACGACACACTGGTAGACTGAATGAAGAGAAGACCCGTGTTGACTTAAAGATATCCTCTGCTATATTGGAAGACTCTGCTCTGTACTACTGCGCCTTGCAGCCCACAGTGACAGGAAACCCAGACACACCGCACAAAAACCTGTCAAGAGCCTTGGGGATAAACAGTGTATTGATGGAGACATTGCATTCAGTTATTATTTAGAGTACATTATTACAAATATTTTCCCTGCATCTCCACGTCAACTGAAAAATAAAATATAACTGTTATTTTATTGAAATATATTCCCTTCTTCAGGAAATAATACTTGATATTGTATTCATGTTCCTGTTGTGATATAACATGATCAGAGATACTAGTCTGAATAAATACAGAATGAAGAACATTTGTGTTGTTTTGCTTCCTTAGAGGATTAAGGGCAGTAATTGACTTATTCTTATCCATTGGTTTTTGTCAACAGCATACATTTTGAGACAATACCAATAGACGGCAGTCATGAGCTAAAATATCTCTAATCAGAACTACAGCAAAATCATGAAGATGACATTAAGCAGAAATTCAACCTTGAAAGACAGTTGAACTCAAATACCCAACCACCTTTAGTGTAGAGAGGTGGAGCTACAAAGTCAATGAGTGCTTTGACATTACAGTATGTAGTCCACAAGCAGTTTGAGGAGAGGATAGTGATATACTCTTACTTGACAGCGCACAAAGCCAGTCATTCATTCCCCATGAAGATGTTTTATGCAATTCTGCTTTTTTCAATGTTCATTTGTAAGTGCACATGTTTTGCATTGCAGTTTTGGATTGCAGACATATGTTATGGTACATGAATTGCAATATGATTTATTCAAAAAAGTTTTAACATTATTTATTTCAGGTAGCAGTTATGAGGAGGAAATAATATCAGCCACAACTGAAGAGCATGTTTTAGAGGGTGATGGTGTTACTCTGTCCTGCAACTACACTGGCACTTACAGTACTGATACTTTACTGTGGTATCAACAATACCCCAAATCAAAACCAGAATTTCTGCTTCTCATCACTGGATTTAATAAACATCATGAATCGACCAACCCTCGACTGTCTGTTAAACTGAATGATAAGAAGACCCGCGTGGATCTGGAGATCTCCTCTGTTGATGTAACAGATTCTGCTCTGTATTACTGTGCTCTGAAGCCCACAGTGACAGGAAACCCATAAACACTGTACAAAAACCTGACAACATACAGTATACTGTAGGAAGAAAGCCATAACAGAAAAGATTTCACGTCAGTTTCAAGAGGAGGCGCTGTATAATCAAAGATATACATGTAGCTTATTGGATGTTATTGTTCAGGAAGTAGCTAGTCAGTCAGGTCTCTCAGTGCTGTCTGTCTGTCTGTCTGTTTCTCAAAGGTCTAGCAAGATGTTGCTCTTCTCATTTGTTCTCTTTTCAGCTTGTTTAGGTAAGTTATTATATGGATTGAAATCGTTTAATTTAATCATACAGTGAATGAACAGCACAAAAACATGGTAATTGCACATTAATCATTTGTAAATATCAGTTACTACTGCACAGTTTTACAGTTACAGAAGTTATTTGACCAAATATTTTTGCAGGAAACAGTTTTGGGGATTCAATAAACCCTGTGAATACAGAAGAGCTTGTTCAGGAGGGAAGGAATGTCCATCTCTCCTGCAAATATGATGGCACTGTCTACAATCTACAGTGGTACCGCCAATATCCCAGATCCAAACCAGAATTCCTCTTGTACATCACAACAGAGGGGTCTATATTTAAAGCTACTCCCCCACATCCTCGTCTGACAGTTACCATTGACAAAGTGGAAAAACATGTTGATCTGAAGATCTCCTCTGCTGAAGTTACAGACTCTGCTCTGTACTACTGTGCCATGAAGACCACAGTGACAGGAAACACTGACACACTGTACAAAAACCTGTCAAGAACCATGGGAGGAAACAAACATCCTGTATGACATACATAAGTAACATACCTACTGTATGTTAGAGGAGGGGCTGAACAGCAGTATAGAAACATAGAAACAGGAGGAAACTTTCAGAGACAGCTTATATCTTTCTGTCAGTTTGTCTCTGTTCATCTAAGATGCAGTTGCTGTATTCAGTGTTGTTCCTGACAATATTTATGGGTAGGTGATACAATACAATACAATACATTTCCATACAATGCATTGCCATACTTGCCCATTTTAATTAAATTACATTTCAATTCATTTTCATGAACAATTAAGTGTATGTGTATTAAAACTATTCTCCATGCAGGTGTCAGTTGTGAGGACCTCACTCCACTCAAGAAAGAAGAGTACTGTTTAGAGGGAACCCATGTTACCCTGTCTTACAACTACTCCAGAACAGCTTCTGCTGGAGATGAATTCTATTGGTATCATCAAGACACAGCACAAAGGCCAGAGTTCCTCCTGTACATCTCAGGTACAGGGTTTATAAAGAAAGCAGATCCTCTGAACACTCGAATATCTACAAAACTGAATGAAGAGAAAAACCGTTTGGATCTGGAGATCTCCTCTGCTGAAGTGACAGACTCTGCTCTGTACTACTGTGCTGTGAGGCCCACAGTGACAGGAAACCTACACACACTGTACAAAAACCTCAGCAGGGACCACATCTGCAGGAATATACCCTTACTTTTTAGACATCAAAACACTAATAAATGCTGTGAATGTCTCCTGTAAATAAAGTGTATGACTCCAATGTTTCACATGTCCTTAATTTGATTTGTGCATTGACAGATTCTGTCAATTTGATGCATATTCCTATTATGATACAGTCAGGCCTCTTAACCACATCATATACATACAATATGCATACATTATGTGACATCATTACTCTCAACATGTACAGTCAAGTTGCCAATAATTATGGACCAGACTGCTCAGTGGTTTGGTTCTCTGCTGGTAAATCCATGAGGATTTTAGAGGAGCGTACCTGAAATCAACTGACGGGTATCTCAATCCCAGTGTGCAATAGCCTGAAGATGAAGTGAATTGTACTTGACCAGACAAACACAAAAGGCTCTTACACCGTTTTGGTCTGGTCAAGTCCATAATTATTGGCACCCTTGATAAAGATGAGCAAAAAATACTATATAAAACAAATAAAACAAATACTGAGCTACACTGAGTTTACAAACATTAAGAACACCTGCTCTTTCAGTTTCATAGACTGACCAGTTGAATCCAGGTGAAAGCTATGATCCCTTATTGATGTCACTTCTTAAATACACTTCAATCAATCAGTGTAGATGAAGGGAAGGAGACAGGTTGAAGAAAGATTTTTGAACCTTGAGACAATTGAGACGTGTCAACAATTACAATGCTGATGGGTTTTTCCCGCTGAACAGTTTCCCGTGTGTATCAAGAATGGTCCACCACCCAAAGGACATCCAGCCAACTTGACACCACTGTGGGAAGCATTGGAGTCAACACGGGCCAGCATCTCTGTGGGACGCTTTCGACACCTTGTAGAGTCCATGCCCCGACAAATTGATACTGTTCTGAGGGCAAAAGGGAGGCTGTGCAACTCAATATTAGGAAGGTGTTGCTAATGTTTAGTATACTCAGTGTATATTGTATGCTCAAAGAAATGTGTTAATTATTAAATGTTATACTAATAATATTTCTCAGAGAAAGATATGTTGTTTAACAAGGAATATAACACATTTTAAAACGATAGGGGTCAAAATTATTGGCACCCCTGTTTTCAATACTTCCCTTGCCAGGGGGGTGGTAAGTAGCCTAGCAGTTAAGAGCGTTGGACCAGTAACCGAAAGGTTAGCCTGCGACAACTAAGTGAAAAATCAGTCGGTGTGCCCATGAGCAAGGTATTTAACCTTAATTGCTCCTGTAAGTCGCTCTGGATAAGACTGTCTGCAAAATGATTACATTTTAATTGAAAAAAATAACACCACAACCTTATTCTAAAAAGTTTTATGAGATTGGAGAACACATTGGGAGGGATCTTAGACCATTCCTCCATACAGAATCTTTCCAGATCCTTGATATCCTTCGTCTGATATTACGGACTGCCCTCTTCAATTCAAACCAAAGGAGACTGAGATGGCTATTGCAAAATGTTGATTTTGTGGCCAATTACCTATTTCTTAGGGGATTTTGATTAGTGCTTGGAGTTATTGTCTTGCTTGAAGATCCACTTGCGGCCAAGTGTCAGCCCCCTGGCTGGCCAACAGGTTTTTGGCTAAAATGTCCTGGTACTTGCTAAAGTTCATGATGCCATTGACCTGATGCCGAACAGTCGAAGCGAAATAGCCCCAGAACATCAAAGATCCACCACCATATTTCACCATAGGTATGAGGTACTCAGCATATGCTTCTGTTTTTCCAGCCTGGTATCAGCAGAGAAGCGTCAATCAGGTAAATTTTTTGCAAAAAGAGCCTCATCAAATAACATGAAGGTTATGTGGAAACATTACATTCAATGGGGAAGATTACTGTCACAATATTGAAGCCTAAAAAATAAGAGTCAGAGACATGATGCCTAAGTGAATACATTCCATTCAATTAGTCTCTCTCTCTCTCTCTCTCTGCATGCTGGGAGTGTTGGTGTATGCTGGGAATTTTATGAGCGAATGCGAGTGGTGTCTGGAGTCAGATTGCCTGTGTATCTTTTTGTTTCCTTTTTCTTGTGTTTCTTCTTCTACTGAAGCTACTGTCACTGTGGAGGAGTTTCTGGTCACCGTAGGACAGAACGTAGGCTATGAAAACGTTTCTTATGCATCACGGATGATTAAAGTGGTGGTGGTTTTTCTTAAAGAAGAGCGTCTTGTCGATTGGATGGTTGAGCTTGGCGTACTTCTTAAAGGTATGATTATTCAAGTTACGCTGCTTTTTTCTCCGTCAACAAGGGTTACGATTTTGAATGTACCAACTTGTATTCCCAATGAGCTACTGGAGCGCAAGTTATTGCGGTTTGGGAAGTTTGCAAGTTCAATAAAAAGTGTCCCTCTGGGTTGCCAACACCTGGCTCTGAAACAGGTTATGTCTTTTTCGGCGACAGGTGTTTATGTTTTTGGACTCACCGGAGCAGACTTCGGAGTTATCTTAATTATAAGTCAGTATGACAACAGACTGAATATGGCTTATGCTAGTACGGGTAGTCAACGGTGTTTTGAGTGTAGGGATGTTGGCCATAAGCGGCATGCTTGCCCGAAAAGGGAGAAGGCCGAGGGTGGGACCCAGTTGGTCCTCGTAACGCCTGGGCCCACTGATGTAGGGAGAGGTGGGCCGACAGTGGTAGAGCAGCCACAAGCACCTGTTGCTGAGGAACAAGTTGTTTGTGTTGAGGGTACCAGAGGGGAACATAGCGTCTGATATGCAGCAGAAAAATATTGTTGTAGGAGGTAAGGATGGATCTGGGGAGCCATTTCCCCAGACTGGTGAGGAGATGCCCAGTACGAGTGATGGGGTGCAAGTGGGGAGTGTTGAGAGGGATGTGGCAGAAGGGAGTCAGGGGTCTGTGGCCTCAGTTGAGGAGGATCAGGAGAAGGATCTGCATATTTCCCTGTTGACATCCCTGTTGACATGATAGTAGCTGGCAATGACTCAATTTACAATCTAGATGAGGTAAATGGGTTCCTGGACCAGACTTTTGGGAAATCTGTTAAATTGGCAGATTTTTTTAATGTTGATAAGTTTGTGAGGTCAGCTGTGGTGTTACAGAAGACGGTGGGGTTAGACCAGTTGAGTGTGAAGAAGCGTTTCCGCTTCTTCACACTCTTCACATGGCAGCAAAAGGTAGTGGGAAACGTGGTAAGGTTAAGATAAAATTAAAACAATTATGATTATCATGCCTCATAGAGTGCTTTTTTCTCTTTGTCTGTTTTCTCTGTGGTTTCTTCTGTTTTTCCAAGGCGGATGTTATGTATTTTTTAATTTTTTAATTTTATGTTTATGCTCCTAATGAGGGTACAGAGCGCATTGTTGTATTTGATCAAATAAAGGAAACCTTAAGACAGTGTGACCAAGAGGGGTGTATGCTTTTAGGGGGGGATTGGAACTGTACAATGGATTTTACTGTTGATCGCACTGCTGAAGAACCTCACCTGCGGTCAGCTACTTGCCTGTCTGGTCTATTAACTTTTTTGAGCTTGAGCTTTCTGTGTGGAGAGTAAGAAATGCAAAAGTTAGGCAGCACACATGGCTAAAGGTTAATGAAGATCGTGTCAGCACAGCAAGGTTAGACATGTTGTATGTATCTGAGCACTACTGTGGTAGGGTTGTAAGGTGTGACATTACTTCTGTGGGTTTTTCTGATCACCATATTGTTACTGTTGATATTCACTTGGCCTGTCCACGAAGGTCATCACCTTACTGGTATTTTAATGTTAAGTTATTACATGATAAACAGAAAGGAAAACGCTGCACACTGCTGCTCATGCTCACAGGTGATATTTATTTATTACAAGATTTCGACCATTAGGTCTTTCATCAGGCATCCATATCCCAGGTCAGGGGGTGGAAGGTCCTATATAGGGGCAGTACTCAGTGACATCACATCCTGAAACAGGAGGTAAAAAATATATAACATAGGTTCACAATATTAACGTTCAATATATCAAAATATATGATCATAAACAAGGAATGTGATCAATATTTACAGTAATATATATATACACACACATGCAATTTTCAAGTAGGATAGAAAACACAATAATTTAGACATTTTTAAACAATAAAAACGGTTTCAAGTCAAACTCCTTGTTAAGGCCAAGAGGAGACAGTGTGTTGAGCCTGTGGATCCAAAAAGATTCCCTTTGAAGAAGTTTCCTCTACAATTCCAGCATCTGCAGAAAGTACCTGGATGTGCGTATGTTCTTCAGCTTTTGTAAGTTATTACATGATGCCATGTTTTGTGAAAAGTTTTTGTTGTTTTGGGAAAAATGGAGGGCTATTCAATAGAATTTTGAGTCCTTGAGACAATGGTGGGAGGTTGGGAAGGCCCAGATACCTGTTTTGTCAACAGCATACTGCTCTGTCTAGTATTGAAGTTCAAGAGACTATCAGGGCCCTTGAACAGGACATAAAATCTATTGAATTGAAGTTGCTCTCTCAGAATGACCCTGGACTAGTCATGAATTTACAGGACAAGAGACTCTGCAGGAGCTGTCCACTGCAGTTATGCAGCTCTCATCAGGCCGAGCTCCTGGCATCGATGGTTTACCATCTGATTTCTATAAGCACTTTTGGGGATCTATTGGGGAGGATTTTTATTAAGTGGTGTGTGAATCTTTTCATGAGGGTTCTCTTCCTGTATCCTGTCAATGTGCTGTGCTTTCATTGTTGCCAATGTTGCCAATTATTTTATTTAGCCTTTATTTAACTAGACAAGTCAATGCCTAGTCTTACTGTGTACCTGACCGCTCGATTGTTGATAACTTCTTTCTGTCACGGATCCCCCCGGTACTGCTGCTCATTCCGTTCACCAGTTCCGGAGGTCTACGTCACCGGCCTTCTAGGTGTCACTGACATGGATCATTACCACCAACCCTGGACTGTCTTGTCTCATTACGCACACCTGGTTCCCATTCCCCTTGATTAGTATGTGTATATACAGTGGGGAAAAAAAGTATTTAGTCAGCCACCAATTGTGCAAGTTCTCCCACTTAAAAAGATGAGAGAGGCCTGTACTTTTCATCATAGGTACACGTCAACTATGA